GCCAAACAATGTACAAGGGTATCAATCACTTTCCTAATTAAATGACTTTTCAAAGTCATGCACAAACTTTTAAGAATGTTCAACCAACATATATCAGCTGGCTCATGTGCTGTTTTCAGATATTGATATCTGCAATCCTTTTACCGGATCTAGCATCATTGTCTGAGCTCAGATGACTCAGATAAAAACAATGTGAAAACATAGTTTGTTTTCATGTTTAAAGTCTCCATCAGTCTCTTGCAACAATAACAGGAAGATCTGTACGGATCGATACGCAAGATTACTAATAGGGACTTTTCTTCTACCCACCACCACGCACGTGAAACTTTCTTGACCAGGTAACACATGCAACACTTACCAGATCTCTGTGAAGCACCCAGTTTGCATGGAGGTAATGGATTCCATCAAGGATCTGGTAGAGTAGGGATTTAACCATAGATCTTGGCAACTGCATGGGCTTTTTATTTGCTTTTGAGGCACGGTGAAACTTGATAATATGCTAGAAACAAAAAAAAGTAGAAACATGAAGCATATTAGATAAGTAGAAAGGTTTTTTTTGTTCTGTCAGTCTTTTTAAACTATTAACACTAAATAATGGAATGAAATACAAAGTTCATTGAACTTTGCAATTACAAGTAATAGTGATGTGCTCACAATTTTCTTAAATTGCTTTTATTCTCTGAGTTGCTTTAAAAAAGAGCTGTCAAGCTTTTGTTAACATCTAAAGACTGGCTACTTACCTCCAGTAAAAGGTCTTAGACATTCTCCTCCCTCCCTCCTCCCCATTTGGGATCCTGTTATCCTCAGCTGCTAGAACAGAAGCTTCCAAAACAGCAGTATCTACTAGAAAGAGGACTGCACTCTATGCTTTCACATCTTCCTTCCTCCTCTCCAAAAATACCCAGGACAGAGTGCTTGCAATTAACTTTACTGTTCCCCCCTAAATCAGAACCCCAGTAAAGAGATTAAATAAATATTTAAAGGGGCAGGGGGGGACAGGACACGACTCCAAAAACCCCACACCACAACATTAGGGTGAGATCATGTGCTAACATCTAAAAATGGTTATATTCTCGCTTCCAAGTTTTGGCTGCATACTTCATTGATGATGACAAGCAAGTGGCTCTTGGATTACAGAAGTCAGTCAGCCCAATAGGGGACAAATACCACTTGAAATTGAGAAATGGAATGCAGAAAAGTATTCCAGCATTAGTCGTCTGACGGAATGAAAAAAGGATCATGGAAAGATTGCCGAGAGCTCATTAAATATTCATAAACTAATTAATATTTATTGTAAGATCAATGTGGAGATGATGGGTTACGTTTCAGTTTGCTGCCTTGTCCAAGAAATAAAGTGGGCTGAGGCCCTTCTACCTTTTCAATCCTCAGACAAGGTGGGGCTACGCAAGGCACAAACCTAGTCTTAACATATTACCATTCAGCAAACAACTAAATCCATTCATTTAGATGAACAAAAAAAAAATCTCCATTTTGAAGGCAATTCAAAGAAGCATTTCAAATAACGAAATAGTTTTCAATTATGTGCTTTTTGAAAGACAAATAATAAAGGCAGTTTGCATTTTTACTGAAAGCGTTTCAAAATGCTAATCTGGAGAGTGACAAGACTACTAATTACCCAATTCTTTAAACGAACTTGTCTCATTCAAGATCATCCCCTTCCCCAAGATAAAGAGGTAGCCAATGCTGTGCTTTCATTAGACCTCTGTTCCCTCCACCACCACCACCCCCCTCACCACTTTTGTCCCTACTGTTCCCAATGAAAATGGCAACGGGTTAATATTTCCTCGTGGTAAATGCTATCGTCTGGCTGTCACCAGTACTTTAGCCACTGTCAAACTGTGCTTAGCAAAGATGTAGACTATAGTATTTAAAGAGAAATTTAACAAAAAAGCAAAAAAACCTCAAATTACTCAGAACAAGAACCTGCTTACTGCCTATCAACAGTAATGTTCCCACTGAGCCTTCCACTACGACACATACAACAGTGATGGCTGTATATTAAAACCAGTATTAAAAAAATCTACAGGATTATCTGTTTTTAATATACAAGTGAGGATCAGTAAACAAAACAAGCTCTTAGTACCTGATCCTTTAATTGTGCAATCACTCTGAAAACTATACTGGAAAGCCTTCAGGGATGATTTCCTTTGGAATTTTTTTTTTTTTGTCATGTCACAAGAAGATTCTGTGACAAAACTGACAAAACTTCCAAGTGGGAGTCCCTACCTTCCAGTATGGCACAACACTTATCGCATAATGACCTTCATGTGCAGTTACATTATGATTTATAAAGCAGTAATGATACCATAACCCCCCCAAATTATTATCTTTATTAATATCTGGTATAAAAAAAATACAGGTGCACCAACAGACAAAGGTCACAACACAGAGACCCAAAAACTCAGCCCAGCCCTTTTTCAAGGTGCAAAGGTGCATGTAATCACTAAAAGGGATTTCTATACCCTTTTAAAACTGATCAGCATCCACAAAAACACTATTCCTTATAATAAAGGCATATAGAAACTGAAACAGGGTCCCATGAAACATAATAGGATGCATGTCACCACGGATGCGTTAAGGAGGAACACTCTGCTTCTGGCCCCAAGACAGCCCCTTTGGTTACCAGGGGAAGGGAGCGCGACAGCACCCGGCTGCTGCTCTCTGCTTTCTGCCCCTGCCCTCCTCTGCGGCTTCCCAGTTCCTTCCAACGGATTGGAAACCCTGCTGAGGGCTTTGTTCCTTGAGAAACTACAGGACTGAGCAGGCGTTTAAAGCAATGCAAGAATCTGGTCAGGAACAAGACCCTGTTAATCTAGATTGGCAAAGCAAAGCTTACACGAAGGTAGAGGAGAGGAAGGTCTCCCGTGGTGACTCAAAGCAGCAGCATTTCTCTTTCTCCCTCTCATTCCACAGGAACACCTAGGTGAACTTTTGAGGCAGATAATCCACCCTTACACCGAGCTTTAGATGCGCAAGTTACCTCTAAACCAGAGCTAGCATAACTAAATCAGCACCCTGCTAGGTACACAGCCAGACTTGCCAGCTGAGGCTCACAGTGACACTTACCAAAAAAGCTGGCTCATGATCCAGAAGACGGCAGAGCTTGCTCTTATCTGCCTCTGACACCCTAAATCACTTTGCCATGATGCTTGCTTGTCCCAGTCAAAAAGGCAAAGCAAGCAAGCTCCTTTCATGAAGGAGTTACTGAACTGTAGAAGTGAATTTAAACTGATAGTTTTGCTTTAAGCAAGCAATATCATCACTAGATGAAATGCAATTTCCTACAAAAGCAAATAAAAATTATTGTTGCCAGCTTACTCTACAGAAATTTATATTCATCAAATCACAAACTTAACCCCATCACAGTTTAGATTAAAGAACTGAACAAAAATTAAACTGAAAACATACTGTAGGGACAAATAATACAGGGAACTGAAAAGCTGAATTTGTCCCATGCCTTTGGAATGAATCTACAGTGCTTGTGACCAAGTCTTACTCTCTTTTTTTGTAAAAAAAAGTAGGTCACCCAGTTGCTTACATGAAACTAGCCATATGAAAAAAAAAACAACGCACATAACCAACACTAAACAGTAATTTTAATGGCACTGTCCATCTAAGAAACAGAAGGGAAAATAGATGTGATTGCTGAACAGTATCTCTTCTACTGGAGGCAGCAAACCCAAGCTTTTTCTTATTTATTTTTTCAGAAATATGTCTATATGGCCCTACCACTGTTGTGGGAACATATTCCTCAAACTGAAAAAAAAAAAAAAAATATCATCAAAACAGAAATAAATGAATGGTGGTAACAGCTTGACAAAAGTTTTGGAGATAGACAGATCAGGTGTACAATAAGTTCCTAAGCAAAGGATGCTACACCAGCACAAGTATTCTAAAGGACTTTAACTTGAGCAATTCTGCTGACTTCAGCTATGGCAGTGAGATGGACTATTTCCATGTCAAAACATTTAAGATTTAATAGCTTAAATCCAAGACCTCAAGTGTAGAAATGGGTGCAGGTTCCAGCTCAGACTAGGATGTTCTTTATACGTAACTGCACTATGCGAGTGAATGAGGCTTCAAAACCACACTCCTCCTTTCTCTGATTCAATAAATACTTTTTGCAGAATAGCATAGCATCAAGACTGTCCCGTGAGCTGGGAGTACAGACTTCAACCCCAGCAGGTAAGGACATTCTGCAGCTCTCTCTGGGAACATCGCAGCTTATAGCTGAGGTATGCCCAAGTTCTTTGCTGAGTCTTACCCCAACGGATAACCACTAAGAACAAAGCATGAGGACTTTCACAATCCAGTCAAGTCACAGAGGCATGTTTGTAGCAAGATGAGCAGGGTCAAAAAGCTTCAGCATTCTCCCCATCTTTTTTCACTGTCACCCTCTAAAGATAACTTCATTCCCCTATGCTGATAGACCACCCGGCCACAACTGGAAAATATCCAGCCACATTCAGCAAAAGTTTAGGGAAGTCCAAATTGTCAGTGTGCACTGTATCATCGCATGCTACAGAACAGAAACCCATCTCCAATGTTATTCAGTCATAATCTCATTTTAATTAGTTCCTTAGAACACTGTAGATGCAAGGTCTCCTTCTGAGATATGTAAGACGCTTCAAAATGACCTACTTGAGGATATGGTTTAATGGGGATTAGGGATGGTTGGACTCGATGATCTCTAAGGTCTTTTCCAACCTAGAAATCTATGAACCTATGAAAATGAAAGCAGAATGCTTGTCATATGAGGCAAATGAAACTTCAAGCAATATTCAAACTTATTCAAGCAAAAGGAGCCAAGTCACTTTCCCTCTCCGTTCAACTGTATTTTGAGATTCCCAGATCTTAAAAACATGCTGCCACTGATTGTATGCCATAAGCATTGTGAGCCAATTAGGTATTCACTTTTGAAAATAAACTTCATGTAAAAATATTTCTATTGCTTTTACATATTTTGTTCTAAATTTAAACAAGGCATTGACTTCGTGGCAGTGGCTTTAAGTCTGTATTCTAAATTAAATTAATACTTCACTAACCAACACTAAAGTATAAATTTATTAACATTCTAGAAAAGTAACGAAGCTTCCAGAGGCTTGCTACAATTTGCTGTTTTGCAGCCTCTGGAACTATTGGTTCTATTTACTAAGTGCATATTCCCAATTTTCAACTTCAAAAAATGTAATAAAATTGAGGGGAAAAATGGATGAACTGGCTTATTTCAGCAAGATCGTTTTAGCTTTAGTAAAGCCAAGACCATATAAACAATAATAAAGAAGTGAAAGAAAGCTAAGCATTCCAAAAGAAAATACAGAAGAGGCTCATGAAACCGTATTCAGCCTAGTAGTTGTCTCCCTTCTATGTTACCTAGTGTGTGGTAATTGGTTTGAAAATTGGCTGATGAGGAACTATGTACGCTTTCTAAATCCTCCACCATAAACAAAGTAAATGTAATGTATGACAATACAGAGC